TATATGGGACTGGCACCTTACTCATTAAGGCACAGGCGCTGCTCTGATACCAGTAAACTTTTAAAAGAGATATTCATTGCCAATTCTCTTATTAAGCAGACTACAGAAAAATCTCAAGTCATTCAACTAATCCCTAAGAATCCCAAGAAGACATTTCTGATAGCCTTTTTAGAAATAAAAATAGGATGAATGCTTTGAGATGCATGTGATAATTTGCTGGAACAAATGAATTTTCCCCAGATCTCAGAAAATAAAAATGGAAACTCATTTTGGATTTGTCTTGAATCTGTTCCAAATGTACAAAATTCTCCGAAAACCAGACTCTCAATATAGAACTCCCAGTTTTTATGTATTCTAATACTACTGCCATTGATTTCCATGTCACCTATCTATAAATAGTCCTGAGGACTTTCATTCTAAACAGATCCTTACTACACCTTTCCTATCCCTATAAAGTAACATACATGTGTTACCCTGCAGAGTACATGCTGTACAAGAACAGGGAAAGGACACAACAAATCAGTGATAATTCAAGATTAGAAGACAGGAATCCTAATTTCTGAAATGAAAATTTTTTCTATTTGGATAGACATTTTTAAAACACAAATTTCAGATGAAGCCATATAATGCCAATGCTACTTCCAAAGGTACAAACTGCTACATACCTCTATTATCTCAAAAAGCAGGCCAGGTTCTATCACAATGATAACCTTGTACTCGGCTGCATTTTTGCCAGGGATGCTTCCAAGAAATGAATCCCGCATGGCGCACGCACCGTGCACTGCTTCTTCCAACCCGGGCTTCTTCCAGATAGAACTTCTACTAATCCACCCAGTACGAAAAACACTCTTGGGCTCTTAATAAGAGAAAAAGTAAACTGATGTATATGTATCCTAAACTGTTATGTCAAAAAATAAATAAATAAAAATAAAGCTACATTTGTAGGTATTTGTAAAGGTTTTTTTAAAAAGTGATTTCTCAATATTGTAAAGCACTAGAGAAAGCTTGAAGACCATTCTCAAATTTGTCCTTCTTCTTACAAGGAAGTATAAAACAACTGAACGACCACAACACACTGTCTCAAATATTCACTACAGTGAGTCAGTGCCCCTTAAATGATATAGATAGAACCAGACGCTGCACCTCTATTGGGATCCTTCTAATTCAGAGAAGAAATTAAGCATTCCTGACCTTTAACATGAGGCATGTGCTGGAACACCTCTTCGGCCAAGTGAGGAAGAATGGGAGCAAAAGAACGAACTACTACATCCAAAATCTCCACTAATGCAGTCTGACAAGAGCGTCGTTTGGGATCATTTTCATTTTCACAATAAAGCCTGAACAAAAACAACTCGGTCAGCATTTGACAACACCATCTGACAAGACAGGATCTGCCTCAGGTTCCCTTCGTTCTTATAGTGCTAATCCTACGG